ATAATATATATGTATTACATCCATTGTGAGACAAGAAAGTACTTTATTTTTTAAAATAGAGTCTATTGCTTAAGAATAATATCCCATCTCCCATATCTGATGCTTGCACATCACATACCCCACTAACTGCACATTCGGTGCTCACTCACCTCTTTGCCTTTGCATATGCTGTTCCTTCAGTGTAAAATATCTTTCCTCTTTCTCCCCATCTGTCAAATTGCAAACATCATTCTCACTGAGCTCAGATGTGACTCTTCCAAGGGCCCCCCTCCCAACCTTCCAGCAGGTTGGAGCACATCTCACCTGTGTCATCCCTTAACACGGCTTCTCTTTCACTTTGTGTTTTGTATAATGCATATTATGTGGTTATTGATCCATTTGTATTACTGCTAGAGACAGCTGATGATAGCGTTCTGAATGGCGAGCGCTGTGTTTCTTCTCTTGATATTGCAGGTAGCTTCTACTCCTTTGTTTCACTTAAAGCAAGTGATTCGTGGTTTTTGTTTGTAATGCTCTTAATTTTCTCTTCTTAGATTAATATGCACTTAGGTCTTAGATATAGAAGAAGAGAGCTGAAAAGTACTTCTTTAGTTTAAATATGGGAAAAGTTAGACCCAGAGACATGGTTAAGACACCCAAGGTATTCGAGCTTCGCCATTGCTGGAATACTCATGTCCCGACTCTCACGAGGGGACAGCTTGGGGTTGACAGAGCCTGAGCCTCACGGCCTCACACTTAATAATACGTGGCCTCTGCACGGTGTTTATGGTTCCTGAACTATGATTTGGTTTTTTTGTGAGAAAGGGATAACAGTAGGTGCCTACCAAATGGGGAGTGGGCACAGGGGTGCGAAGGTTAAACACAATAACGTACACCCAGAACCTACACAGAGCACTTTATCCCTCACCATATTGCGTACCTATACCTCTCGGCCTGCTTGTCAATGTCACAAATATTGACGATTCACTCTAGACCCTGCTGGAAGAATCTGAAGAAATTCACAGTGATCTGGAAGCAATGACTGAGAGATTACAGTGCCTCACTAGCGTGTACTGTACAGAAAAAATGTCCCAGCAAGTGGCAGAACTGGGACGAGAGACTGAGGAGTTGAGACAGATGATCAAAATTCGTTTGCAGAACCTCCACGATGCAGCTAAGGTAAAAAAAAAAAAAAAAGAAAGAAAAAGAAAAAGAAAGAAAGTCTATCATTAAAAGAAAATGGCAATGCCACTATGGAAACACGATGTTCACCTGTAATAAGGTTTTTTGACTGTGATGTTTTTCTTCACCCATGACTTCGAGTGCGATATATTGATAATCAAGTGGCTTTTACTCTCCAGGATATGAAAAAATTTGAAGCAGAGCTAAGAAACTTACAAGCTGCTTTGGAGCAAGCCCAGACAACCCTGACTTCTCCAGAAGTTGGACGTCTTAGTCTCAAGGAGCAACTCTGTCATCGACAGGTAAACAAAAATAAGTTAGGGTGAGTGGGTGGGGACCTATATTTTAAAAAGAGGATAACAAGGAAAAATGCTTCTTAAACTTGGCGTTGTTTAAAAAATATTCCTTGCAAAATGTTCATAACTTGTAACATAGCTATAATTTAGTAAATGTCTTTTGCTTATGAAATAAATGATTAAAATATTAAATCTTTGAACTATATAATTGCACTTTCAGCATTTGTTGTCCGAGATGGAGTCACTAAAGCCAAAGGTGCAAGCTGTGCAGCTCTGCCAGAGCGCCCTCCGGATCCCCGAGGACGTGGTCGCCAGCTTACCGCTGTGCCATGCCGCTCTGCACCTGCAGGAGGAGGCCAGCCGGCTGCAGCACACGGCCATCCAGCAGTGCAACATCATGCAGGCAGGTGCTGCGGCGCCCACGCGGCAGAGCCAGCGCGCATGAGTCACGGGCTTCTTTTCTTAGCATTGTGTGGGCTCAGCCATCAAAACACATCCAGAGTGTTAAATCTGACAGGCTGTTGTGGTTTTTATAAAATAAGGACATTAAAATACTGTCATTTGGATCACCCACAAAAGCCTAGGGAAAGCTATATAAAAAATATCCTTTGGTGAAAACTATCGTGTAGTGATATTTTCTATAAAGAATAACTCACAAAGGTTAATTTAATATGCAATTATATATTTTTATCTCTTTTTATTTACCTGAAAATCAGCTAGAACCTGGTAATATGGGTTAACTGTTATCCTATGTTACAGACCTTTTTTTCATGTCAACTTGTTGAGGTATTTTCTATAAAGAATAACTCACAAAGGTTAATTTAATATGCAATTATATATTTTTATCTCTTATTATTTACCTGAAAATCAGCTAGAACCTGGTAATATGGGTTAACTGTTATCCTATGTTACAGACCTTTTTTTCATGTCAACTTGTTGAGGTATTAAATGCATTTTCTTTTGAGTATCTAAAAAGTGAACTCAAATTTAACTCTTAGTCTCTTCACCTAATAAGAGAAAATCATTTACCATGAAGAAATGACACTGTTTGCCTTATATCTCCTTTCAGGTAATATTTCCTACTTTATCCAAAAAATTTGCATAAATAGCTTCTGATCAAATCGCTAGTGGTCCATTTGGCCAACCATCCTTGCCCCTCACAATGTCTTGTAATTTGTTAGACAGTAAATTCCTGGGTCTGGAAGTCACGGGTAATTCATATTTTTTCCCCCTACTGCAGTGCTTAGTTGAGTTTCTTACTTATATATTCAGTATTTCTTGAATGGAAAAATGAAATAATCATGTTTTCCATACTGCTTCCCACCTTCTGACCATTATGTTCCATTCTCAGGACAATACGAGTAGAGAGAAGAGGGAATCCTAACCACTTAACTGTTTTGGATTCCATCAATAATTTTGCCACAATATTTTAGAGAGAGATCTCTGAAATATCTAAGTTAAGAATTTGAACCATCTAGGGATTTTACCCATCATCTCTTTATTTCCTAGACACACAGGTGAATAGGAGTTAACATTCAGTTTAGCAGACATGGTACAGGATCACTTACCCACTTACTGATAGAGAAAGAAAATTATATGTGTGTGTCTGTGTGGTTTTCTTTTCCAAAGGAGGCTGTGGTGCAGTATGAACAATATGAGCAAGAAATGAAACATCTCCAGCAACTGATAGAAGGAGCTCACAGGGAAATTGAGGATAAACCCGTGGCCACCAGTAACATCCAGGAGCTGCAAGCCCAGATTTCTCGGCATGAGGTGAGACCGGAATGTAGGCAGAATACCCAGGGCAGGAAACTGGCTTGATTAGAATATATGATTTGTTTCTGGTGAGTAAAAGAGAAAAGTTTCCCCCGTCCTGCATGTAGTGTGTTCAGTTCTTGAGCAGCTGCTTTGACCATCTTTGCATCCTGAGTGCAATTTTTGCTGATCCTTAACATGAGTCTTTCCCTTGATTTTACAACCTCTTGAAACATCTCCACTGGGACCCACTGGTTGTCTCCTGAACCCAGAATTCTCATGGTTAATACACTAAAACACAGTCCACTTCCTGGTTTTAAAACCTGCAAGAAAAAGCAACGCTCAAAGCTTTGCTACATTGATTGTCCTCTTAACAAAGGAGTATTTCATAGTAAAAAGAAAATTTGTTCTGTCAAATATTAAGTCATTTCGGTCCCTTTCACCAAAATCAGAGGATGGTCCATGTTGTTTACTAATTTTCACATTGGACCTGTTAGCATTTCCCCCATTTTCAAATGTTCTTCCTTCCTTGTTCCTTTGGCATCATTGTGACCTTAGGACTTGGACACTCCTTGTGCAGACCTGGTCTCAAAGATCATAGCTCTCCAGTGACTGAGCAGTGAATTTCCTTTCCTAACTTGTCAATTCCGTATAAGTCAAGTATACACTCTTTCTCTTGGGGGCTGGTGCATAGCGCCATGAATTTTGGTAAGTAACTGGGAGGGAGGTGTCTTATTTCTCTGTGCCAAGGATAGACATTTAATTTACCCTTCCATCTGCTCTATTTTAACTTTGCTATGAGAGCAGCAAACTATTGCTGCTGTATGATATTTTCCAAACCAAATATCATAATTAGGTTCTCAGAAGAGTCTAGTGTTGCCTTTTAAAGATGGAAAAGCTTACCCCCATTCTCCAAATGCAATTTATTCTTTAATTTCTTGATATATACAGTACACTAATCACTTACATTTATATATTATTTACAAAATAATTTAAATGTCCCACCCACATTTACTCCTACAACTGTAGGCATCTATGTTAACAATTTCTCTTAGGCACTGGTTAAATGAAAATATGTTGTGCAAATTTTGAAACCACTGTTTATGTAACACATATATTAGCATATATATTACATATTTATTTTGAAACTATTTTTAATCGCATTTCGTAAGATCCAGAATTTTGTTGTGACAACTCTTCTTCTCTCATGGTACAGAAAATATTTTTTAAAGTCTTATTTGGAATAATAATGATAATTACTAAAGTTTTTTGGTTTATATTTTTAAAAATAATTTACAATGTTTTACATCATTTTTTATAATAACACTATGAGATAATAATTTTTTGTCTCCATTTTACTGATAAAAAAACTGGTTTTTTTAAAGTGATTCCCAGAGCCCCCAAATCTAGTAACTCAATGAAAAGTGGACTCAAACCCAGTGTCTTTGGCTCCAAATTCGTGATTTTTCCACTGTTGCAGAAACTATTTGGGCTATTTCGTTGTACAAAAGAGAATAATGAAGTCCCAGGAAAATAAATGACTCACCCAAGGTTGCAGAGTGAGCTTTCAACATAGTCAGCAGCAAACTGTGCCTTCCTGGCTCCTATTTCAGTGATCTATTTATTTTGTTCTATTTTCTCCTCACAATTCTGAACATCAGTGTTGATTTTTGTTAGTTCTGTCATGTAATTTACAACACATTTTCATGTAAACCATGATGCAGTCCTCTGTGAGGTTCATTGTATGTATAAAACAAACACAGGAAGGGAAGTGCCTAGTAGAGAAAGCCTGACCGATGATCACATAAAAATTGGGAAGAGGGTTTTTTCCTGTATTTTCAGTCTGCATTTAATTGAATTTCAATCTTAAGGTGAGTCTGGTTTCCATATGGATTGCTTTAACTCATAAAAATAACTAATAATTTATTATTTGTAAGAAATTTACGTTTTATTTTCTGTAATTTTTGAAAGGTTGCATTTAATTTGAAAAAATTATCTGGCCACTTTTAAATCACAGGAGAGAATACTTACCCCTCTTTGCTCTCCATCTGACACAGGCTGCTGCCCATACAGGGCAACTTTTCTTTGAGTGGCCATTGTATCTGAAGTTCTCACCTTTACAAACATTTTTTGAATTACCTAGTAAAAATTTAAATACGTGTGTGTGTGTGTGTGTGTGTGTGTGTGTGTGTGCTTCATGAGAATAATAACACATTAATCCAGTGCTCCATTTTATTTTAGTGGATTTGATCACAGATGAATAACCAACACATGAAGGTAATGAGATACAAGCAGGTTTACACTTAAGAAGAAAGTTCTAGAGTACTGTTTCTCAAAGAGAGTTGCATATGTTAGAGTCAAATGGGCTAACTATGAAACGCAAATTCTCATAAACCTAGTAAATCAAAATCTTTGGAAGTGGTGCCCAAAGTTGCATTGTTAACAAACAACCCAAATGAGGTTTATACACAATACAGTTGAGAATTCCAGCTTAGGAAACAGGGGCTTGCTGTCAGTACACCTTTGCAGGGTACTACAGTAGGGAGCTGGGCCCAGCCATGTGGTTACAAAGGGTACAAGGGCTAAGACTAACTCTGTCTTCACAAAGAGTCCTCAAATTCACCCTAATGCTGCAAGCCATGGTAAGAAAGCTTAGTGACTTGGAATTCAAGGAGTCCAGTAAGCTGGTAGATATCTTCTACATGTGCATGTTAACTAAATATAAGAAGTATTCTCGAGTATCCATGTGCTAGCCACTAGACGGGGTATAGTAAATAGCTATTTTTATCACTATTTTTTCCTTAAAGAGCTCTAGTAGGTTTAATTAAGTATCCGCATCCTCAGAGGTAAAGAAACAATGATTTCTACTTTTTTAAATCCTTTGTTTAATAAGATAAGATAGATGTGTGTGTGTGTGTGTGTGTGTGTGTTTTATACACATATACAGTTGGCTCTTCCTATCTGTGAGTTCCACATCCATGGATTCAATTAACCATGGATGGAAAATATTTGAAAAAACAATGGATGGTTGCATCTATACCTGTTCATGTTTTTTTCTTGTCATTATTTCCTAAACAATATAGTATAACACCTATTTACATAGCATTTACCGTGTATTAGGTATTATAAGTAATCTAGAAATTTAAAGTATTCGGGAGGATGTGTGTACGTTATATGCAAATACTGTGCCATTTTCTATCAGGGACTTAAGTATCCCTGGATTTTGGTATCCAAGGGGGGTCCTGGAACCACTCCCCTTCAGATACAGAGGGATGACTGTATACACACACACACACACACACACACACACACACACACACATATATAGATGTATAAACACATGCAATCATTTAAAAGCCAATGACATTTAATATCTGTCAAAAAATGTGTTCTATACAATGACATTTAATGTCTCTGTCACTAAATGAAAGCTTCTTAGGCAAAGGGCCAAATGAAAGGGATAAAAAATAGTAATAGTTTTATACTTTCAGGATTCATGTTTTGGAATATACATTTTCATATTTTAAAGATGCAAGGAAGTATAACTTCAGCATTTAATATTTATTACATTTAATATTTAAGCAAAAAGTATAACTTGAATATTTTAGAATTACCATACTCTAAAATGAATCTATAATTACCTTTTTAAGAGCTCTGCGCTATGCAGAATATATTTCCAATAAGCTCTTAGTAAAAATTTAAAAACCTATATCTCTCACAATAATTTTTTTTCCAAGGCAAATGGAACTAAAAGCCATTACATTTGAACTGCACATGAAATTCAAAGCTCTGGTTTGGAGCATCAGCAACATTTGAGACATGATGGAGCACATGAAAGAAAATCTGATGAATGTACAGAGTTTATTTGGGGGATAATCTGCATAGGAAATCCAAGTTTCCTTTGTAATATCTAACTTACCTAGAAAAAAGAAACGAGGAACAGGAACAGACAGGTAGTTTACTATGCAACTCTTTCCATAATAAACGACTGTCATCTCTGTTGGAGGTACTCAGCATGGTAAGAGCTGAGCATTGCATTTTTTTGTAGTTTTAGTCATCACATGACCTAATTTCCATGGCATGAACCATCTGGTACATCTCAGATGCTTTCGCATTTGCACGAAAGTTGCCAGTTCTTAATGTTCATGGTTCAATATGGGGTATCTCTCGCGATTAGATGAGGCGTCTCTCACTTGCACCGCACGGTTTCTGTTTCTGTGGCGCCGCCAGCTCCCCGCACGTGTGCGGTCGGTGGGCCGGGCGGCTGCAGCGCGGGGGTCGGGCCGCGCGCCGTGGGGCCTGAGTCGCCGCCTGCTCCGCCACATCCTGCCTCCCCGGCTGTGCCGCGGCCGCCGCCCCGCGCAGCTCTGCGCTCCCATTGGCCGGCCCAGCAGGAAGGTGAACGCTGCTACTTCTGTTTCCTTTTGATGCTGCTCTGACACCCCGGGGGCGGGGGGGATGTTTCCTCAGGAGCTGGCTCAGAAGATCAAGGGCTACCAGGAGCAGATCGCCTCTTTGAATTCCAAGTGCAAGATGCTGACGATGAAAGCCAAGCACGCCACCATGCTTCTGACGGTGACCGAGGTCGACGGGCTGGCGGGAGGCACGGAGGACCTGGATGGGGAGCTCCTCCCCGCGCCCTCGGCCCACCCCTCTGTGGTCATGGTAAGGCTCCAGCCAGTCCTGGCCGCTCTGCTCTTCTGACCAGAGCCGGCTAGTGGCTCCGCGTTCCCTCTCCACGGTTTATTTCAGGGATCAGCCTTAGATTTTGCAGATTCAAATTGAGGAACAGTTAGTTTCCTTAACTCTTTGACTACATTTGGGCAGGAGCCAATCTTTGACACTGTAAACAGTGACAGGTGAAATGAAACTATCTGCCTCAGACCGCTGAATTACTGAACATGTCTCGCTTTCGTTCATAATTTAGAAATAATACTGAGAGGCTCTGCGCTTTAAAGAAAAATTCCTTTGCACAGTGTTTTAATTTTCTGGGGGATGGGAGAATCGTGGTACACATATTTAGTTGTGTTTTCCAAGCTAACTAGCTAACTACATTTGTGCATGTACTCTGCTGTGTAAGTGTTTAATGAAATTTAGAAAAAAAGCGATTGTTAGAAAAATAAGAAAATAGACAATCCAAAGTTTAGCTTTGGATTAAAATAATCTTTGGTATTTTCTATTCTGCACCATTATCTCCGCATACATTTGACATTTAAAATGCATTGAGTATTTTAGTAACTATGATGTTTTCCAGTGCTGTGTATTTTCCCTTGTATGTTCTATGCCTCGGAGAATGTATATACCTGGGCCCATTTGGCAATATACTCTTACTTTGGGTCCACAAATACCAAGCTTTATTTCATAGACCCCTTTTTTGTTTGTATGATTCATGATTTTTCTAGTTATTTTCAAAGATACAATTTAAAAAAGGAAAATAAAAGAAGTATTTAATCAACACCAAAAACTCTTAAATGTCATATGCACTCACATCCCTGGTTGTTTTACAAATGATTTCTAGAACATATTCTTTTGAAGATGAAACTTTTAAATACTAACACAGAATTAATATGTGAATTTGAGTCTCAATAATTCTGACCTTTGTTTTAATATAATCTCTGTTTTGACCTGTGCCTGGTCAGGTGTTTTGTTAACATAGCTAACTGATTTTCATGTCCTTTGGGCTACATTTTACGTGGCAGATGACTGCAGGTCGCTGTCACACTTTGCTGTCACCTGTCACTGAGGAGTCTGGGGAGGAGGGAACCAACAGTGAGATTTCTTCTCCGCCAGCCTGTCGCTCTCCTTCACCTGTGGCTAATACAGATGCTTCTGTTAACCAGGTACCTCCCACCTGAAGTTCTTCTAGCAATGAACGATCTCTGGGCGGATGCAGGACTCCATTCTCTTTGTTCTCATTAGGCTGTGGGCGTGGATCTTAGACTTTGTTGCATTTGGTTCCAGGGACACACCATTAGGTGTTGTAGTTGCACAGACTGTGATTACCGTGTGAGACCACTGGCTCAGGATGGCATCCTCCTTCCTGGGCTGTGACAATGGATGAGCAAAAATTAGGTCATGGGAATTATAACCCAAGAAGGCCCTGTTTTAAGGCATAATGGCTTTACTTTCTAACAATCATCTAGAATGGGGTTCTGCGTCCTAGCAGAGAATGAAAGTTCTGTGTCACCGTTGTAAAATAACATGATTCGACTGCTGTTTTAACATTCATTGAACATAGTGTTGTGTTGATATTTTCCAGCTCAGATCTTGAAGATGGGAAACTGTTGTTTATTATATCATACTTTTTCTTTATTTACTATTTGTAAACCAATTTAAGGAATATCTGCCAGTGTATTTCCTGGAATGCCTAGTACATTTGAGTTTTTTGCTTCTCTTTCAATAATCTTAAATTTTATTTCCTATAAAATGAGGATAATACCTTTTTGTAATGTCTTTTTTATAATACAATGCATTATATTAA